TGTGTGATAGCTCCGTAACACTTATCCATTTTGACTTTCCAATCATTTTAGTGAATGAAAAAAATTATAAACAAAAATGAAAGGAGTGAGTCCATATCATCAATGTCTATCTTCACTAGTCTGCTGTAGAAACAGATTTACCTCATCTTCCAACAAAGAAGAAGAAAGAAAGAACACTTACACGTTGTCACTTACGCCCTATGCGTTGTTCGGTTGTATTAAAAGAAAAGGAAAAGGAAAAAAGTGTGAAAAGATAAGGAAATTATTCATTTGAGAAGACAGTGATATGAAAAGTAAGGACAATTATAAATCAAGTGATTACAATTACAATTATTACCCATGACATTTGAAAGCATGTACCCACCAAATGATACATTTTTCTTCCTATTTTATTCGAGAATGAACTAGAGACCTGGTTTCTCCTCATTTCCCTATACCAGTAACATTCCTGTCCAAACTTTCTTTGCGACTGACACACCTTTGGTCATTGAATGCACAAAGAGAGTATAGGATGATAATAAACAATGTGAGTTGCAAGAGTATTATTTTGACAATATCTTCAAGCAGAACTCTTAGTTATTGTGGTAGAAATAAAATCTTTTTTGTGAGTGGTAAGTTACTGACTGCAGCAGGTAAGGAAGACGCGCGCGTGCACACACAGTGTCACACACATATCTTGGACGATTTTCAAATTCACCCAACACATCCCTCTTCATTTGCCGAAAGTAAATAGAAATGCCCATAACCCCATACTATATCCCCCCCCCCCCCCCCCCGAAAAAACAATAATAAACAGCACGGATATCTAATTGCCCGAAGAATTCTATTTATGTGTGCCATACTGCCATACATGTTAATGCGGCATACTTAGCACCACACTTATTTTAAGTACTTCTTCACCTACAATATTGCCAATTATTTTTTTACAGGTATTAGCACAACAGCAAATCATGATGCTCACAGCACAGGCATGGTTTACTAGCACCAAAGAGCTTGAGGAGAAGGTCGTTATAGTCATTTGTTTTATACCTCATTTATCTACATCTCAGAGCATCTCCAAGAGACTATATATATGAAGACCATTTTTTTACATATTGCAATAATGCAATACTCCGTATCTGTGAAGGCCATATTTATTAAAATAAGGAGTCATTAAACTCAAAGAGGGATTTTTTGCTTCTTCCAACTTTGTTTATATTTTCCCTTTATTTTCTTATATTTTTCCAAACAGAGAGCAAAAATATCATTGCATTTAATGCAATTTATGTTGAAGTTTCCTTTCAAAGTGGAATTGCATTTAAGTCAATTGATTATAGAGGGAGTTGGTTTTGCTCTTCAAAACTGGAGTGCAAACTCATTCTATTATACTCCCTCCGTCCCGTTGGAATGTTCCCGTTCACTATTCATTGGTCAACTTAGGTCACTCCTAATCTTTTATTTTATATATCAAATTTTTATCAAATTGAACTTTTCTTGATCAGGCTTTGTAGCGGTTTTAATGTAGTTTCTGAATATGTAAATTTTATTTACTAAAAATAAGCGGAGTGTGAACAGGGATCGAGTTGCTTTGTTGTCAGTCAAGCATCGTAAACCGAATGGGAACATTCTAACGGGACGGAGGTAGTAATAAATGTTAAAACAGAGTTTATCAGGATACTTTTTAATGGTTAACTCTTCAATAGGAAGAGCATCTCTTTATTAAAGAGTATGTTGGAGATGTTCTTACGGGAATAGGATGACTGCCATCAAATCACTTTCCCTTCAGATATCCACTTCTGTTCATAGCAGTAGAATTTGGACCATTATTGTTCATAATTGTCTTTCATATCCATTTGAGTTGTTTAACTTTTTTGTAGATTGCAAAAATGAGTATGCAACACTCTGTTGTTTCCGAGTATACGTGCATGGCACTGGTAAGGACTGAGAAAATAAATGGAACTCCAGATCCAAGTAAGACAAAGAAGGTACTAAGCAATGGACAAATAATGCAGAATAAAAAGATTAGATGTTCAAGACCTGTTGATCAGTTTTTACAATTGTCATAAAGCATTTCAATTGATATTTCATTTGGACTTCATAAATTTACGTTAGTGTTTTTCATGTTTGGAGTGACTTGTATTTCTAAGAAATCCTTGATCTAGTCCTTTTACTTTTCCCATCTCATGAAAGAAAAAACTACTTTAATATTCCATATCTACTTTTGGGGTCCACCTGGTGGGGTGAGGGTGGTACCATACAGGTACAGATGGGTTTTGATGCCAAGCAGAAGGCCTTGCATGAGCTTAAGGCCCACTTGGTGAGGTTGAAGCTTGGCTGGGTTCTCTGAGAGTAGCAGAAACGGCAAAATAGGCTGTTCAGCTGAGTCACCTATATAAGCTACTTAAAAATGGAGGGTGTTAAAAAGTATACATGTGGAAGGAAATAACATCTAAATGATGGTGGTCAAATGCTTATCTCTTCATTGCAGTCATTTCATAAAAAGAACTTTTGGACCACTGGTTTTTAAATGTTTAATAAAATACAGTGGTGATTAGGCTGAAGTTTTCTATCATTTGCAATGGAGCCAAAGATTCATTATTTTTTGGCTTGAGAATATGATGAAATAAAGCAAAATGGCTCACTAAACTGTCTGCGCTTCTTTGTTATGAAGTAGCAGTCAGCCCATGCAATTTTGGACGCGATTTTCACTATGGGTCATCCGGAAACAGTCTCTCTGTGCTTTAGTACAGAGGTAAGACTGCGTACATCCGACCCCCCCTTACCCCACCGTAGGTGGGAGCCTTTGCGGCACTAGGGTAAATGAAAATGAAATGAAAATGATGGTGATTAGGCTGATGAACCTAATAAGTTTGATTCCATACACTAAATTTCCTATCTTTTCTCTTATAAGTTGGATTAGTTTAGTTGCTCTCTAGCTACATGTGCATTGCATCTGAACCATGCCATGCTCATGTGATATCAGGGCAGTAGCGATAAACAGAAAATGGCAGATCCAATATCATCGCAAAAGAGAGCAATGCTCCACAATCTCGGCCTTGGCTTCGGAAACCACACAGCGACTGCTGAAAATATTCCCCCAGGTGCCATTGAGGCAAAACCAGACGCAGCTGAGGTTTTTGTTAAGGCGGCATCTAACTGTTGCGGAAAGATGTGTCAAAAGTGCTGCTGCATGTGTTGTATCCAAGCATGCTCCAGGATCAACGATCAGTGTGCAGTTGTGTTGACTCAGCTTCTCGGTTCTTTGGCTTGCCTTGGTTGCTTCTGCTGCTGTGATCTCTGCTGCTCCGGAGACGATGGATAAGAGCGTCTGATCATCTGTTCTGTTGTTTGTTGTTGTATATCAAACGTGTGTTTGTATGACATAAACTGGATTGTTGTCAATATTATCCACGATTTGGGATGTGTGTAGTGGTTGAGTGGAATGTGTATTTATCTATCAAAAGAAATGCTTGTTTACCATTTCTTCAGCTGAACATCTCTTAGCATAGGGCTGTGTGAATAACCGTCACGCCAATAGCTATCTGCCTTACTGCCTATCTGTATGGACATGAACAAATGCAGATCTGAATGAGCTAGTCTGCTGGTATTGCTTACGCTTGAACAAATGTTTAAGACTAATCTGGAATTCCGGATTGTGATTCTGATTCTAAAGACAATCATATGAAATTATGAATTAGTGTTCCATAGAAAACTCTCAGTGAAGGAAGTGTAGGGCTCGACCGCTCCAGTCAACAAAAAATGCAAAGGGAATGATATCTTAAAAAAACATCACATGAGATGATGTATTAGTCTGTAGCAAGAAATACCACACAGAATGAAAAAGAGCATTACTTTTTCCATGACCAGCTTAAGATAGCATAGCAAGAATGCATGGAGAAGAATGTCCCACACACTGGTGCCATGCGTTAAATGAAATAACACTAATAACATTAGCCCGAAAAACACGTCTCAGATGATAGAGGCTTGCCGAAGTTCACCCACTACAATCACCGTCTTCGTAATGCAGTCTTGAACAACACAATATTGAGCAGTGGACTAAACAACTCAATCGGAATGCAAGTCCAGTTGGGATATAGAGATCAAGTGATATTTCAAACGGGGAACAAAAATCACATGGGATAAGTGCAAAGTAACAGTCTGCATATGGCTTTACCAGGTAGCGTGAATAGTAGAACTACTGAGTAAGCCGACTGAACAATGTGTAGTATCATGTGTATTACCAATAAGCTGGTAGCAGGATTCAATATCGATAATGACCAAAATGATTGCAATACGAACATACCGAGCATCATGAGAGAAGTCCTTTGCAGACGCGAGAGGATTGTAATGAAGGCAGCGGGTTCGTGTGTGGGACTGTGGGAGGAGTAGCCTAGATGACAGGTGATGTAAGTTCTGGTTTCGTCCTTTGGAGCCAGTAACGACGAGGCTGACTGTGATCAGATCCGAATTTAACTGTCTAGGGGGTTTGGACGGTAGTTCATAGACTCCAGGATTATGAAAGCGTAAACCCCGACACCTAGATTATAAAAAAAACTAGAATTAGAGAGAGAGCGATGCTTTTAAAAACTCTAACTTTTACTTTTCAAAAACAACTTTTCTTTTTAAACATTACCAATTTTTACTATTAATCACTTTTTATACACTCTTTCCGTCCCTAAACAAACCTTTCACTTTCCTTTTATTGATGTCTCTTAATAAAGTATTTTTTCCTTAATTATTCTACTATCCTTAAATAATATGACAACACAATGCAAAATTGTGCCAAAGAATGTCAAACAATGTCAAAATTGTATTCTTTACGGAGAAATATATTCCTAAAAAAATAATTTAAAAAAAAAAATAATTTTAAATAGGAATGGAAAGAATAATTTAAAAAAAAATAGAAGTAAATTAAAAAAACACTCCTTTAGCGTGTGAGAAAGTTAGCCGGGTCCCAGCTGACAGAATAGGTGGGAACGAGGAACACGTGTTTGAAACCCTCTTATCCAATGTGCTTTAATAAATTATTCAAAAAAGAAAATGAAAGCATTTTGTTTCACCAAGTGGGCGATGAATCAACCACCATCATAGTCTCATACATTCCTCGTGCTCAATCCCTCTCATCACATGATATATTTATTGATTAACATATTGCAGCTGAACTTCTAAATCAGCTGAAGATATGGGTTCATCAGAAACTATGGATTCCGGCAGGGTCTCCGGCCATAGGTCCAACTTTTCTCACACTTGTGCACTTTTGAGCCAATACTTGAAGGAAAATGGTTCTTTTGCAGATCTCACTTCGGGTATTTCTTATTCCCCCAAACCTCATGAATTTCATTTAAAGGTTCTAACTTTCCTTTTGTTTACTCCCATTTATTAATTATTTTTACTTCTTTTCAGTGTAATAGCTGCTAGTTCTTTCAAGTACATGCGTCTAAACTTCTGTTTTTGCCTTGAAACAGGAACACCCACAATGAATCTGTTTCCAATGCTTGAGAAGTCTGCCCAGAATTCGGGTCTCATGCCATTGAATCTTTTTCCTTCCAAAAAGATCGATTCAAGGTTTGTTTCTCAGAGAAAACCTGCATCTGCCTAATTTAAAAATTAAGTTCACTAGGTGCATTTAGCTACTCATTCACCTTTTAGGATAAAATCCAAGTGGGTCTAATCGATCAGCCATTTCCTTTTTTGACAATTTGAAATAATTACCTTTCTAGGATGAAACCCAATAATGCTTTATAATGTCCTTGCTCAAATTGGTTTAAGTGTTAAGGTGTCAAATATAAAAAATACAAACCAAGATATTAAATCTTTATATAGGACGAGTAGTACGGTCTAAAAGTTGATTTTGTATCTTGAAATTCTACCTAGGTGGTATGACTTAATCACTCTTGTATGTAAAGATTCAAAGTTTTCCTTAGAGATGGTCTAATCTTTCTGACCCTTTGTGTCTCTTGTTCATTGTGGGATAGTGTGGGAGTGGCAGATCAAGAAAGAGCACCAATGACAATATTCTATAATGGTCAAGTGATGAGGTTCAATGATTTTCCAGCTGAGAAGGCGAAGGAAGTTATTGCATTGGCTATGAACACCCAAATCCCCAACATCTTACCTTGTGCTGATGCTAATCCTGTTTCTAAGGCTGTTTCTGGTTTTGGAAACCAGAGACCCTATTCTGGTAATGTCCAATTTATCTTGTCTTTTTTTTACTTAAGAGGTTCTCGGTCACTAGTTTAAGTCTTGGGAGTGCCCTCTTGTCAAAATGAAAAGAGAAGGCTTGCCCCCTTATACACCCTTGTGGTGGGATCCTCTTCCCGGACCCTTACCTTGCAGCGACAGCAATGTGCACCGGGCTGCCCTTTTTTAGAATAGTTTCTGGTTTCGTGTATACAGAAGATCATTTTGCCAATTTTTTGTGGGGGAAGCTTATTTGTAGAAATGCTGTTTGTTTTCTGCTGTAGATTTGCCCATTGCTAGGAGGAGTTCCCTTGTCAGGTTCTTGGAGAAGAGAAAGCACAGGCAAGCGCCAAGCGTTATTTTTCAATTAAAAGTCTCAACATTGAATTGTAGAAATAAAAAAGTGAACTTCACTAAAATTATGTTATATTTCAAATGATTCCAACCAAATGTTCATACTGTCAATGTGAACCTCCTGTGCATATTCCAACCAAAATATGGTCTAATGTGCAGTTGTGGTTTCAAGTGGGGAATTTCTTTATTAAATAACACTTTTGAAAGTGGCATTTCAAATCAACTTTTGAACCAAAATATATATTGTCTGAGATTACATTATAATAAAAATGAGTTTTTCCTACGTCAAATACAAGCTCAAATGGCGCCTGATAAGCCTTAATCTTGTACATTATAAGGGCTTGTAAACTATTCTACATACACCTCAACTACAATTGTGTTATATTTATGACATTTCAAAAGTTGTGTTTTGAGAATTGATGGTGGAAATATGTGATGGGATAACAGGATTACATCCAAGGCACCATACGAGAAAAGGAACTGTGTGGGGGGAGCTTCTTCAGAGCAAGAAAAAAACAAGGAATGGCTGGGGTTGGCTGCCCAGTTTCCAGTGAAATCTGAGGCTCAGTTATCGTGATTTTTGTTTGATCATTGATGTGTATATGCTCTGAGAGCTTGAATTATTAATACTTGAATTGGGGCATTAGAATGGTTTAATGGCACTTTATTAGAAATATTGACTGTTTGTTTGTGTTATGCCATTCTATTATCAATTAATGACCTAAATTATGCATGGACCCGGGCCGGGCCTAGGCCTGGTCGGGCTTTTGAGGTTTGGGGGAAGGCCCGGAACCGGCCCTGGTCCCCACCGGGTACGGGCCGGGCCTCGGGTTTCTACTTAACCCCCGACCCCCCCCTCACCCCCACCCCCCAAAACATCCCAAAACACCCCGCCCAGAATAAAAGAAAAAATTGAAAAAACAAAAAAGAATAAAAAAACAGCCGGGAACCGGGCCCGGACTGGCTGGGCCGGTTCGTCTTTTGGGTGACCCGAGCCTGCACTGTAAACCCCCCGGTCCGGGCCTACCCAGACTAGTCCCTGGCTGGGCCACCGGTTCGGGCCAGGCCCAAACAGTGCCGGGCCGGTTCCAGGTCGGGCCACCCGTCCGTCTTAAAAAGTAAAAAAGGAAAAAAAAAAGTCCCTTTTAACCAGTATATATATGCACACAAATGTTTGTCACAAATTTCTTGACCAGAATGCTGTCCAGTCACCTCCATTTGTGGAATTGAGGTGTTTCTAATTGAATTTTAAATTGAAATTTGGTGGACGTATGTTAAATTTAATGAAAAATATGGTTACAAAATTTCAGTAAATAATTCCACCTGAAGCAGCTCAAAGTCTCAAACAGAGATGATGCGCAGTATTCAGAATTCAGAATGATGCGGAGGTATTGCATGTTAAAAATATTGAATGATGCGGAGTATTCAGAATTCAAAAAGGCATTTGTTGGTATATAATCTATTTGGGAAATGGGAATTGGAGCAGACCGTGAAAAAGTGGGTTTAATGCACCAAACCCCCCCTGTGATTTGGAAATTCGGCGCATTAGCCCCCTGTGATTTAAAAAATGCGTCAAACCCCTCTGTGTTTTAATTAATCATGCGCCAAATCCCTTATGTGAACAAATTCAATTGTCAAATAAAAGAAAAATGATTAACATTTTTGTATGATTCAGAGATTTTGACATATTTATTTGCATATTCAATCAAAATATTAGGAAAAGTGATTTTCAAATCGTTAAATTTATTCATAAAGGGGGTTCTGTGCATGATTAATTAAAACACAGGGGGGTTTGATACATTTTTTAAATCACAGGAGGCTAATGCGCTGAATTTCCAAATCACAGGGGGGTTTGGTGCATTAAACCCGTGAAAAAGTGGTACCCGCTAATACAAAATGGATGATTATTTTATTTTTTGAGCATGTATAAATATAAATGTAAATATAAATGTTACTTTGGTCAATGTTGGGGTTTCATATTGATTTTAAAACAATGTAATATTTGTCTCGCCTTTTTGTCACTATCTTCCAATCAAAAGAATAAATGTCATTTGTTTTTTATTTTTATGTTTTCTTTTATTCACTGTGACCACTTTTTTTTATATTATATTTGCACCCATTAAATATCTATGAGATCAATCAAATATTACACGATAATGACGACAACACCAGTATTATTATTAGGGACAAACACGGTATGGACAAGTCCATGTTATTAATAAAAGATTAAGAATTACTACTTCAATTAAACAGATTGGTCTAGAATGGGTATATAAAGACTTGTAATAGGAACCGGATTTTATCTGTCCCTTTTGAAATAGGTTGATTCAGATTCGGATTATTGATTTGGCAATTCATAAAAAATAATACCGTTACACTAATAGGGCTAGAATGTAATAACATTCTCAAACTAAATAAAAATTAACTTTAAAATAATATAATAAAAGTATCGTAAAATTTCAAAATAAAATTTAATTAGCATATACTGTAGTAAATACAATGTCTCACAACTTAACGACACCTGCAATCTTTGTGTTCTTGTATGGTTTTTTCATATGATATTTAACTCTGTTCTAAAAAATCGTCATAGGCGCCCGACTAGTCCCCGCCTAGGCGCTAGGCGGTGGTCGGGAGCCACGATTTTCGCCTAGGTGCTCCGACTAATTGGTTTGTTATCAAAGTGAATTAGTCGGCCGCCCATATCCACTAGTTGTCCGCCCAGAGCGTCTAATCAGCCACCATAGGTCATCTAGATTCGCTTAACATTACTTTATTTTATAATTTTAATTTTCTTAGCGATATAAGTACTTTAACTTTAACCTCAGATATAAAGAAATGAAGTTGTAAATTAAGATAAAGACTATATATGTTTGTATATATACCTAAATTTTATTATTATTTATATTTATAACATAATGATGTTAAGTATTAGTTATCATATACTACGTATGATTAAATGTGACAATTCTACCATTCATGTTTATTAACGTATGTGTATATATGTATTTTATACACGCAAGAATACAATATTACTTATCATATCTGTGCATATATATAGAGGCCTGATCCTGTCCAGCCGGAGGGACAGGACCCGCTGTCGCCATTTGGGGCCCTTCCCGGTGGAATTTTTTGCTGAAATTTTTTGAGCATGTTCTTCATGAAGTCTAGTTTATCCATACCAAATTTCAGCTAAGAATTCAATCGGGAAGGCAATCAAATGATTTTTGGAAGTTAACTGCGCAGTTTATATACATATAAAGCGCAGTTATCTTCCAAAAATCATTTGAGTGTCTTCCCGGTTGAATTGTTAGCTGAAATTTGGTATGGATAAACTAGACTTGATGAGGAACATGCTCAAAAAATTTCATCAAAAAATTCTACCGGGAAGGGCCTCTGATGGCCTTGTCCGGACGGTCCCTCCCGTCCCTCATGAGGGACCTGATCTTTTCTGTATATATATATATATATATATATATATATATATATATATATATATATATATATATATAGTTCGGCTCAAACGATAACATCACTTAATGTGAGAAGTAAGAACAAATCACAACCATCCAAATTCAGGTAGATCTGCCATCTACTAAAGGGCAGTTTCATACTCCGTATATATTAGTCGGCATTTAATACGTCCGCTTCTTCTACCATGACTTAACAGTAAACCCATGCCCCATTAAATATTCCATTTTATGTCTCACATGGTTTGACTCACGTACTTATAGGGACGGAGCCAACAAGGGAGGTGTGGTGTCAATTGACACCACTGATTTTTTTTCCCCCATAAGTAAGTATATAAAATTTTTGAAAATTCTAAAATTGACACAATTGAAGAATAAAATTTTTTTGTATAGGCGTACATAATGTTTCATAAATTATAAATTGACACCACTCCACTAATTAAAGAAATGGGTGCAATGTAATTTTTTTTAAAAATTGGAACACCAACTTAAATCAATTGAAAGTCAGACAATTGAAAATTGGAACACCAACTTAAAACTGAAAAACGAGTTGAAACTCAAACACTCTTGCAATTGATCCAATCTTTTGATTTTGCTTTCACCTTACACTTGATAAACAAATGAGTTGTCAAAATCTTTACAAAGAAAGGATCAAGATATTGTTAACGCTATGGAATTTGTTAAAGTTGCCAAAGAACGACAATATTTGCTATGTTTGCTTTATGCCTTTATGTGTTTATAGATTATTATATAATACTCCCTCCGTCCCGCTAAGATTGTCTCATACACTATTCATTTGGTCAATACAAAATCACTCTTAATCTTTTATTTTAGGGAAAATCGCACTTTTAGTTCCTGAAATAGTCACGAAAATGAAATGTCGGACCCGTATATCTGATACTGTAAATGTCACCCTCAATTATCCAAATTGTTGTAAATGTGGTCCTTTAAGGGGTGAAATGTACTCTCGCCCACATTGTATATTTTACCCCTACATGGACCGCATTTAGGGCATTTAGGACAATTGAGGGATGACATTTACAAACTTGGGAATATGGGTCGAACATTTCATTTCGTGACTATTTCAGGGACTAAAAGTGCGATTTTCCCTTTATTTTATATATCAAATTTTTATCAAATTTGATTATGGTTTTTGCGACTTTGCAAAGTTTTTTTTATGTAGTTTCTAAATATGTGATTTTTATTTTTCAAAAATAATTTGAGTGCGTACAAGAGTCAGTTTTCTTTATCGTCGGTTAAACATCGTAAACCGAATTGTCCCAGACATAGTGGGACAGATGTAGTAGTATTCTGCTTAAAAATAGTGCTTTGTTAAATTGACACCACTGACACCGGTTCTTGGCTCCGTCCTTGCGTACTTATAGAAATAGTTACTTTTTGTAAGGGATGTTCGTTATTGACCATGAAAAAAATGAAACAAAATATTATTCTCTTTTTATTCAATTATTCCTTTAATAATCTCTCTCTTTAATTGTTAATCACCATATCATAGTTATATTTTTCAACACATATTTTCTCTTTATGGTATATACGAAATGTGAGTAAGATACTAGTTCATGTCAATTTCATAAATGAGTTGTGTGTCAGATACTGGTTCACGTGCATTATATATTCGGGGTTGTGTGTTAGATCATGGTTGTTGTGCATGATACATTTTGTTGTGATTCTTTATATTCATACTATGTGCAGATAAGAGTTAACATATATACATATTGTGCTTTATATACTAGTTCATGTGTACTATATGAAGTCCTTGTGGGCTATATATTAGTTATTTATTTTGTGTGTTAGATAATGCTTTTTGTGATTGAGATACTTATTATGGTGTTTTATATAACAACCAACTATGTGTTAGATATAACTTTTCATGTGTATTAAATACTGATGGTTGTGTGTTAGATACATGTTCTTGTGTGTAATGTAGTTGACGATGTTTGTTGTGTTTTATAGTATGCATATTGTGCTTATTTTTTTAAAAAACAATTATATGTGCAATATTGGTGTCATATGAAAGCTAATTTTGTTTATAATTTGATATAATTTTTGATAAAATTGGATTACAATATAAAGAGTTAAATCAATTTTAAACTAAAAATATTCTATATGATTTAAGTCTTTATTTATGCCTACTTCTTTGAAAAGTGGCTCTAAAACCGTTACAATAAAAGACGTAAGATAGCAACCCATAAAAGGAATCTGGTTGTTAATTACAATTT